CTATTTTCACTACAAACTTGGCCCTTTTGCCACCGATGGCGCCACTGGTATTCTAACCTGCTCACTGAGCGGCTAAGCGAGCGTGGCTTTTTGTATGATCCCAATATTCTTCAACTAGCCTAAACTTACATTGTTTAACTCTATTCCTATTTATAATTTACGTACATCATTTTGCTTGAACCTAATAAACTACAGCAAATATCTCATAAACGAAAAGAAAATGTCTACTCGTTGGTATGTATCCGTTTTACAAAATAATCATTCAACAGTTGTACTTTCTCAAGTATTTAAGGGTTATACCTCGAAAGAAGTTCACACGATTAATAATTATTAAATAATTTATCGCTGTATATTTGATTTATTTTTTAGGTATCCTATGTATCAGAAGGGGAACCCACAGCTTCGAGTTTTCCTTCCAAACTTTTGGTTAAAATTGGTTCAACCTGAACATAAACAACCGAGTAATGTTGTGCAGTTTCATTGTTCAATGGAAATGACGAAATATGACATAAGAAATTATTTGGAAAAGATTTATAATGTTTATCCTGCGCATGTTAAAACGAGGATCGCTCTTGGGAAGACACGGAAGTGTCCAAGATATGGATGCGTCCTTAAAGATGATGATATAAAAATAGCTTACATCCATCTGGTAAAGAAATAGCAATTGCATACATATTTAATGTGAATGCCTCTGATATTAAAAAATACTATACAAAGTAACATATTTTCTATAATTTCAGCCTAAAGGAGAGACATTTGTGTATCCTGATCTATTCGCCACAGCTGAGAAAAGTGTAGAAGATAGAGTAGAAGAGAGTATGAAAGAATTTAAACAGTTTGTCAAGCCAAATACAATACCAGGTTTACCCACTTGGTTTAGAATCTAATGAACCTACATTTGTATATAGCAGAAAGAAATAAAATTTATTTAATTCGTATTAGTCACTTATACATTTATATAGATACCATAAGCTGAATACTGGTCAATAATAATTGCACAGATAATATTATATTTGTAATATAAAAGTATAAAAATATATCCTACATATACAATTTCTAATAATAATCTTATATTTAAAGTATGAAAGATATATTTTGAATTAGGACCTTCCATTTCAATTGGCTTAGAACTCTGTAAGCATAAATCCATAGGATTTGCACTTGGGGCACTGTGCTATGTCAAATAAAAAAATGGTCTGAAAGGAGAAAGCAAAATGAAGCAAAAATTCACTGAAAGTAATTAATAATTTATACTCTGTTTATAATGAGCCAAACCTGTGGATGTTGTGGACAGAAGTAACGTACTCTACCCCTTGTCCAATATCCGCAAACATTACATATCACGTAGCAATGAGGCCTATGGCACAAGCATTTATCTGGAGACAAATTGCTAATGGCTATACCCCTTCCTCTAGCCTCCCTCACAGGGGCCCTTCTATTTACCTCGTTATAATACATTTTGTTGTTCCTAGTTATTAGATTATTTAATATTTATTATTCAATCCTGCATACCAGAGATGAACAGAATGTATTCTATCGAATAACTACTCAAATAAATTTCTATTCAATAATGTATCACGAGAATACCGACACGTAAAGAAGTCATTATTAAAGGAACAACGTTTCTCTATTATTTACGAAAGACTCGATCAACGAGAAGCAAAATTAACGTAGCACCTTAACACAAAATATTCGTTTACAATTTCCAAGTATTAGATCGCGATAATTAATTTGACACCAAAATATATCAACGATAGTATACTCACTGAGCTGTATTCGATCGTAGTTCTTAATACTGGATCGGAGTTTTATTTGCTTCGTTGCGATTTTTACGTTTCTTTGAACGTTACCTTAAACGACGAGTCTGCCGGTACGTTGGCGCATTTCTGCCACGTGAGTGGTTTTCTCAGCGAAGGCTGTACGTGGAACAAAGACAGCGATATAAACACACTTCAAACGAACGGCCGTAACCCACAACAGTCGTATTTTTCTAACGGCCGAATTCATAAAAACTACGTCCGATTTAAGGTCTGATGAATATCACGACCCTACGTTATACATATGGCAAAAAGGTACAATAATTAGGTGCATAAATACACCTTTCACCCATTATTTACGCATTACTTTTAATTTTTTTTTAAATACGAGTAGTTACTAACGAGAAACAAAAGAAATGCTAGGATACGGCGCGTCTAATATTTCGCGACTTGTTAAGAAATAAAGGGATAAATTAACGTCTGCTAATTAAGAGTAGACTTTGTAATTATCGCGTTAATATAGACGACGTGTAAGAACTAAAAAAATTAATTCTGAATTTTAACTGAATCTTAAATGTTAATCCTAAAATGAATTTGAGTGACACACTTGGACTTGGATGAAGTTAAAAAATAAATACTACGATAAATGTTTGATTGTATAGTTTCCACTAGTCTGTAAACAAAACTTAATCGCACTAGAAATTTTTAAGACTGAAAGCTAATTCAAAATATTAAGTTAGTCAAAAAGTTCGTTCGAGTGGTTACTAACTTGACGAGATCTTCTGGGAAAGATTATAAACCAAAATAAACCACAATATGTTACAGAGTAAATATATTTTCTAGTCTTAAAAGAATCGCTGTTTATTTGCGCGTAAACGAACCTTTTGGCCGACCTAACGTAAAACGTCGAAAGTTTTCGTATCCACGGCGAATCGATCCAACTTACGACGAAGACATGGCGTCTGGAACGGAAAGCAAGCGTGTCGCAAATTTAAGTTTATCTACTAATTACGGGAGGTAAACGCGAACGAGTTTGGAAAGTCACTCTTTTTTACCAATTATCGAGTCGAAAAGTTGATCGATAATTTAATTGTTATTTACGTATAAAGAGAACTACTCTTACCTTCGCGCGAAACAGGAGGAATTATTTCAGTATCTAATCTTGCTGATTAGATACTCTTTTTTGCAGAGTATGCACCAGTGGAACGGACAAGACCAAGGTCGCGTTCTGCACGGACGTTGAGAAATCGATAATAATACACAATTTCGAGAAAAGAGGCTGGGTCCAAGTTGGTCCGGAAGATGACTGGAATTTTTATTGGTAAATCGAATTCTATTGCTAGAGGATAAAAGAATAATTTCACTCCATCGTTTAATGATTATTGTTACTGCTGCAGGGCGGCCACTCAATCATGCAGAACGATATTCAGCGTGGAGACTGGATACAGGATGGACGACAAACAGTCGGACGCTTTGCATTGCTAATTAGTTAATGAATTATTATCGCTAATTATGACGTTAAATTATTGTTATTATATTCGTAGAATCATCAATCATTTTCCGAATCATTACGAATTGACGCGCAAGGACCTTCTGGTGAAGAATATTAAGAGGTATCGCAAGGAGCTGGAACGGGAGGGGAATCCCCTCGCTGAAAGAGGAGACTGCCCCGGGAAATATTTATATTTAGACTTCATTCCAGTCACCTTTGTTCTACCTGCAGGCAAAGTGCAATTTTTAATCGACGATTGCTCGTTTATATGTATAAATATATTATATAATATGTGTAATATGTATAAATATATTATATAATATCTGTAATATGTATAAATATATTATATAATATGTGTAATATGTATAATACGTTTATATGTATAAGTATATTATATAATATGCGTAATATATATAAATATATTATATAATATGTGTACTATGTATAAATATATTATATAATATCTGTACTATGTATAAATATATTATATAATATCTGTAGTATGTATAATATGTTTATATGTATAAATACATAACTTAATTTATATACATGTATTACAACTAACTCGACGTAAGTACTCAAAGTTCCTACATGCACAGATTACAACATGTTCGTGGAGGAGTACCGAAAGTCGCCTCAGAGCACGTGGATCATGAAGCCGTGCGGCAAATCGCAAGGTGCTGGGATATTTCTCATCAACAAACTCAGCAAGCTGAAGAAATGGTCGCGAGAAGCGAAGAATCCATTCAATCCTAGCCTAACTAAAGAATCATACGTTATATCCAGGTGCGCAACACGTTTCGCTTTGCTTTTTTTTTATTATAGTGTAGTCATGTCTGACCATTGAGCTCTATCCTAACTGGAGCGTGAACTGCGAGAGAGAAGCCGGTCCGAGAGAGATGCAAGATGAGTGGTTCCGGTGGTACTATCCTATAGCAAATTTATGTGTGGAGGAAGAACAGACTCCTCTTTGTTTGAATTTCGCGGCACTCTAGGAATTATTTACAGATTAATTATGTACAGATTTGTACTTTATTTCCTTTTTATTTATATATAAAACGGTAGAAACATTAATAATAACGACATAATAACGAAATAGTATACATAATTTACATACCATAATTTAGATCATACAATTTGGTATAGAGCTAAATTTTATTATTTGTCACAATTCAATTTATATTGTATTTATCCAATTTTATGCGGAAAAGAATCTGAAAGTAACTCACTCGACAATGCTCAACGATGCTCGGGTAGGTTATGTTACGGCGTACGTTTGTTCCCCTCTACAAATAAATTTGCTATAGGATAATACCGGGACCACTCATTTTGCATTTCTCTCGGATCTCCGTCGCCTCTACTTCTTCCTACAGTTGTTCACACTCCAGTTAGGATAGAGCTCAATGTGCCTGACTGTTTACAGTGTAAACTTTACACTCTTCCTGTGAATACGTATTTTCTCCCTGCTCAGAATGCATTTATATTTGTAACTTCTTATCTCTTTGTCGCTTGACAACTCATCTCTGTGGGGGCTCGCTGGCCCCCCTCTAGCTCGGGTACCTCGGCTAAGCCCGTACTGTAGCTTACGAAAACACCGCTACAACGACAATTAATATTCGATTCTTTCTTCCAGATACATCGACAATCCCCTGCTGATAGGAGGCAAGAAGTTCGACCTACGATTGTACGTTCTCATCGCCTCTTTTCGTCCCTTGAAGGCGTATTTGTTCAAGCTCGGATTCTGTCGTTTCTGCACGGTCAAATATGACACCAGTATACAGGAGCTGGACAACATGTACATACACCTGACGAACGTGTCCGTGCAGAAACATGGCGTGAGCGCGGCGTTGTTAGTTCGCGTGCTCGCCACGCGTTGTAAAGCCGGCGACTGACTTGCAACAGAACGCTGTAATGTAACTGCTCGGTACGAATTTTACGGTTCGCCACCAACGTTACATTACAATGCTTCCTACTCAGTTCAGTGAAATGTAGACGATCAAAGAGTTCGTCACTTGCTAGTCCGCCAAACTAAGCGAATGCTCGCGTTACATTACAATGTTCTGTTGCGAGTCAGTCGCCGGCTTAACACCCTCGGATAAAAATAAAAATATGTATTCGTTTGTAGGAGGAGTATAACAGCAAGCACGGAGGCAAATTGAGCGTGCATAATTTGAGATTGTACTTGGAGAGCACACGCGGAAAAGCGGTCACCGAGAAGCTGTTCGCGAACATCACGTGGTGCATCGTGCACTCTTTGAAAGCTGTCGCCCCTGTCATGGCGAACGATCGACACTGCTTCGAATGTTACGGTTACGACATTATCATCGACAACGAGCTCAAACCGTGGCTTATAGAGGTTCTCTTAATTCGTAGAAAGTAATTTATTAGGTGGACCAGAAAGTAATGTCGTTTCTGGGAATGCAAATACTTGTTTATTATTTACCAGCTCACCGTGTACCGATCAATTTTTATCGATCAGGTATTGAAAATTTGCTCGCTAGATGGCAGAAGGTTATTGATAACGAGGACAATTACATAATTGATTAAAAATAAAAGCATATTATAAATTTATTTGTTTGAATTTAATGTAAAAGAAACGACATTACTTTCTGGCCCCCCTAATGTAGTTATATATGTGTCGAGAGTGGCAAATTTATTTCATAGATATTTTATGCCGGAATACTCGAGATTCGAGGTCGTATGGTATGCTAATCTAGGAAACCTTGTCTTGCAATGACAAATTCATTTGTCAACAGACAAGGGAGACCTACTGTATTTTAATATTTTCGTGGAATTATTTTACGAGTGTATCACCAACAAATTCGTAGCGCTGGTTGCCGCGTAGTAGGCGCAGGAAAGGTGCCCCTGATACATGACAACCAGAGTTACAGGTCGTCTAGCGGATTGCATCTAAAAGGATGCCGTTTCAAAAAGAAAATATCACTAATACTATAGGTTTATTTCCTAATAAAAATTCATTTGTCATGTATGAAAAATTGAGTCTCGATATTAATCAAAATCGCTGTCTATAAGCTAAGCCATCGCGTTAACTTTAATTGACGAGTATTTCGTTTTATGAGGCCGTAGTAGAGTCTCCAATATCTGGCCCGATAGTAACAGAGCGTTAATGAAAGCTCCATTTCGTTGACGTTGATCGTTCCATAAGATGTTTGAGGATTTTACGTGCAAACCTGACTAGCTAAAAAAACTTATAAAAAGAAACAGGAAGTACCTAGCCAGGGTCAGATTACGTTAGAGTGTCCGTTTAGGGAGGACGTCGGGAAAATACCAGCCTACAGTCAGCTGTGCAAGGGCAAACACTGAAATATTGACCCGATTCGGAGGACAGGTCCAGCGAGACATCAGAGATGTAGAACCACCCTTCGCGAAAATATTTCTTCCGCCTTTCCTTCGTTACATTTTGTATCAGTGCAACCTTCTCTTGTGCTTCTAGGTGAACGCCTCCCCATCGTTGACTTCTACCACCGTGAACGATCGAATCCTGAAATACAAATTAATCGACAACATAATTTCGATCGTCGTTCCTCCAGAAGGTATTCCAGAGTAAGTGCAACGACTTAAATCTACTCTTCATCTTAATGTTAGTATATTAATTATTACTTACGTTGCGTTCCAGCGTGAAATGGAACAAGATTCCTCAACCGGAAGCATTGGGGAACTTCGAACTCCTCCTGGACGAGGATCTGTGCGCCCAAGAAGACAAAGAGTACTCGTCTGGCAAATATCGCGGCTCCTCGAGCAAATGGAAATAATAACGGAGCCGTTCTAAAAAGTATTATTTTAAATATAAGTATATTCGTATCGTTACTGAGACGTTGCTTTGAAATACTTATCTTTTAGTTGTATCTAAAATCCACCCGGGTGTGATCAAGGGCTCCTCGAGGAAATGGAAATAATAATTCAGCCGTTCTAAAAAAATATAATAAATTTCAAAATCAACATCTCAATAAATTTATAACGTAAAACTCTATTCGTGTTATTATTGAGACGTTACTTGAAATACTTATCTTTTAGTTGTATCCAAAATCCATCCAGGTATGATCACTGGGGGATGATCGGGATCCGAAGCATGCGTAGACGCGGAGTGGGTGGCTCGTGGGCTTTCTATCGTCAAGGCGCATGTACCTAAACTTCCAAATGCATATCAGTTTGAGTATATTACTCGCGCAACGCTAAATGTAACGGTCAAAGCAAGAAATCGTGGAAAAACGTATTGCGAGTGCGATTAGGGTGCCAGAGCCGTTCGAGTTCCGCGGAAAACACGCGTCAGAGTGATTCGAATGAGTTCTGTTGATAGTATATAAGGGTGAATCTTCTTCGGGGGCGGTTTAGATGTGTTCGAACCGGCGTTCCGTCACGTGGTACCTTTCACAATTAAATTCTATTTGAATAAAATAAGGAACTTTTGTTTCTGTAAGTATCAAAAGTAATCGCTACTCCCGCGAATACTTCGTGAATTATTTCGTAATATCGAGCAGAAAAATTTCAGTGTAAATTAATCGTTTACTATACGATTATACGATTTTGTATAAGGAACCTTCGATTACGATCGAGGTTTTCGTTTAAATTCCTGATCCATAGTCCATAGAATGCTAATACGTATTTTATATTGAATTATGTTGATCGACCGTGACGTGTCAGAATAATAGTGGCTAAAAGGATGGAGGATATTCTGTACAAACACGCGTTGCCCATTAGCGCGAAGTTTCTGATAATCGTCGGAATTTCTCAAACGCTCTTCGTCAACGTTTCACCAGGTGAGAGTAATTATTTATCTGTCATCCAATAATCTACTCTCAGCTATTTTTTTTTAAACCAGAGTTTAGGTAGTTAGTGGAATTTTCAGCGCGAAATGTTTAACGAACCGTGAACTTTGGGTTTTTTTTAGCTCGAATGAAATAGAATCCAATAAAACTGGTTCGCGAGAATTTAGTAATCGAGAGCAGTGAAACGTTCAAACTTTATCGCGTCCTTTATCGGGGTAACAAACTATCGCCAGAATCGAGGCTGTCCCTTCCACTTTTTTTTTTTGGTGTTACGAGCAGTCGCGCGCATAAATGCAATAATCGTCGTTTCTGAGCGATTTGACTCGACGGCTGACAACGTTGGGACGAGTTTTACTCGTTTGAATCGCAAATAGGGCTGTGTCACTTTGACACCGTTACAATTTAGGGAAGTCAACTGTTGGTTCCCTTTAAAAATACGGTATTTTGCGCCCAGTGAATTACGAGAATTCACCAAGGATCTACAACATCGGCGTGTTGATGGCCTCCCATCTGAACAGCCCCTTCGACCTTGAAAGATGTGGCCCAGCCGTCGATTTGGCCTTAGCAGAAGTAAACGACTTTTTGAACGTCCACAACGTGCAGCTGCGAAAAGTTCAGGGAAGGTATGGCGACCCTATTCCTACAATAAACTTACAAAGTTCGCGTATACGCGAGTAAAGAAATATCGGAGAATCAGAAAGAGGGATATTTGTAGCGCTGGTTGCCACCTAGTAGGCGCGGGAAAGGTGCCCCTGATACA